GCTTTCTCGCCCCGGAGCTCGCAGGTAGCAATCCGCTACCTCGACCTCCGGGGCGAGAAAGCCCCGTTCGTAAGTGCGGATCCGACATAAGTCGGATCCGCGTAAGTCGGGGACTGCCTGTATGATGATGGCTTTTTCTTACCCCTAACTGCCATATCTTCCATCTGAATCTTGGATTGGAATGTCAAGGAAGGGTCTTTCCTGCTCATAAGACATCACCAGTAATAGGTTTCAACATGAAATTCTTGTTATTTACACAATCCCACTGAAGTTCATAGGGTTTGCCTTGCCTAACTGAGAACAGATGTTGGCCCTACAAATGGAACCTATTTAACAGTTCTGTTGGCTATGGAAATACTATCCAGCTTTCACACTCATAGCTATGGTGCCTTTGTATGGCTATCAGCAGTTAAGACCAGTATAAACTGAATGGGAGAGTCAGTAGATGCAGTCACTTTTCAAAGTAATATTGTGTTTTCAGTTTGCCTCCATTTCACATTTGGAGTCTGCCTATTTATCTGAAATCTGTAATAGGCCAAGAATTCATCTGTTTTTCTCACTCTCTTTCATAGTTCTATGGTGTGTTGAATGGCATGAGACTTTTCTATTCCATTTTTTCGTTCTATTGAAGTAGTTACAGTAATAGTGTTGAACTTCAGTGTCATTCCCAGTAGCTGAAATGACAGCCCTCTAGTGGTGGTGAAAATATTTATCTGCATACTTTCTAATGGTAAACTAGCAATAACAAAATCCTCTGGTAATTCTGACCATTGTTTGTTTTATTGGATCAGCCCATATGCCACTCAAATGTATATTGGCAAATTGAAAAACAAATTGTTTTCTTTTAGGTGCACAATTTGGAACAGTTGTGTCTCTTCCATTGTCTGGCTTAATTTGCTACTACATGGACTGGATTTATGTATTCTACATATTTGGTAAGTATTTAGGTTTTTAAAATTCTAAATGTACTCCTCTAATGAAGATTTCCTTTTGCATGTCTTTGACACCTCTTACCTGATGATTGAAAATAAGGGATCGAATACTTCGATAGGTGTGGTTACGGTTATCCATATTCTGGATCAACATAAAACGCAGTAACATTTTATTTCATGGGAAATCTAAAAGGCACTTTTCCTTGCTTTACAAGAACAGTGATTCACAAAGACTTCTTGAGGGAAAATAACTGCTTTATTAATAGTAATAATGATTCTGCATTTCTCAGGAAAAATATAAGTTTTATTGTTTTAAAGCTGCTAAACACATTTCCATTCTGACCCAAACTTCCAAACAAAACATTAAAATGTTGCTTGCCTTTGTTAAGCAAAGGAATTCTTTTTCCAAGAATTCATCCACACAGATAATACTAAGCAATTATCTTTATTATCAATGCATTGGGGAGGGCTCAACAGCAGCTTCCAAAGAATTATTAGCAGTACAAGTCTTATATATCAGTCACATATATCATGCATATCGTTATACCAGCTACAACTAGTTTATCAGTACAGGCAGTCCCCGACTTACGCGGATCCGACTTATGTCGGATCCGCACTTACGAACGGGGCTTTCTCGCCCCGGAGGTCGAGGTAGCGGATTGCTACCTGCGAGCTCCGGGGCGAGAAAGC